AAAAAAAAAAAAAAAAACCACCAAACCAAGCTTCAGCCTAGAGAAGATTTTCTTTACATGCACTGCAGTGGGATTCTTTAAGCCGTGCAATTTCTTGCAAGTCTCTCCATTAATCAATTTCTTCTTTTCAGTCTTGCCCCTTTGACCCATACCAACACCCAATCTTCTAACCTTCACCACCTCCTCAAAACAAAAGAAGTCACCAACATTGCTCTCTGCCTAACCACCAATATCGCATCCTGCAACAGCCTCCCCTATTTCTCCCAGCTTTTCTCGTCCTCGATTTCTGCAGTGATTTCAGACCTCCATCCCCCTCTAACGACCCCCCACGCTCAGCTGAGGCCACCACCTTCATAATGGCCCCTTGAAATAGCCCCTTTAATTTTTTTCTAAAATACCAGGAATGCCCTCATTGTCTACTTCTGTCTCTCCCTACCCTTTCAACTTCTTTCTCTGTTCACCAGAGCAAAATGCTCTTTTACAGTTAGGCTCCTTCCAATCTTGCATCCCCCTCCCTTCTTCGAAATGATTCAGCCATCTTAGTGGGTATGAGTCTTCCATGACAAGTTTTAATTTGTAATTCCCCCCTGTGATGCATAGAGAAACCAGAGTTGGCACTTCTTGGACCTCTATAACTTCCACCAGAATTGTCGCAATGCTCAAAATCTGCCAAGAATTTGTTCTTGTGTCGAATGTCGTAAATTGCGATCCATACTAAACTCATCAGACTTTGACAGTGACCTACCATTTTGTTTTGTTTTGTCTTAAAACTGTATGATCAATAAAGAATAATTAATAAAAGCATTGATTTTTCTTCTTTCTTTTAAATTTTCTACGCCATTTCACATGGAGCCCCAAGTTGCAGGCTGCAAGAAGACCACAAAAATACAAAAAAAAGGAACAACATATCAATCAAAGCAAGGAGATCTTGGTTTGGTTTAAACTAGCCAAACTAAGCATCCTATATAATATATTATTATAGGTCAGTTTTTGCTACTTTTCGGTCAGCTTCGGTTGGCATAATAGCCAACCCGAGATGCTCAGTTCAGTTGCCAAAATATTGTGTAACTGAATCGAACCAAACAGTGAGCAGCCTTAATTCCGATGCATTTGGTGGGGCATTCAAAGTCAAATTTCTAATTGAACACTTAGCATCCCATGTCAAGTCATCGTTGGGTAAGAATGAAAAGACATTAGGTATGAATTTGAGCTCAAATATGGACCTTGCGTTTACTTTGTCGAATGATGGGTCATTTCATTTGTCTGTTATTAAGCCTATGTTCAAGGGCCTGTCAAGTGGATGTAGTGCACTTAATTCACTCAATGATGGACCTGACTTTGTTAGTTCTATGTTGGCTTATCCTAGGCCCATTTCTAGCTAAACCTTGACTTTGGTCCCAGTCTCTAGCATTTGGGACATATTGAAGAGGAAATTGCCCCTTGGAAGGTCCATGCACAAATAATCTTGTGTGAAACTTATGTTTGATAACGGGTTATAGAAAAATTTGCAAATGTGCTGTCAGGCATGAAAGTGAAGGCTAAAATCCTTGTTTGGGGTTAAAGGTCAGAGTAAGCCTAGGAAGAAAGTGAAATGAAAGGGGAAGGGTGTAAAGGTCCTGCTGAGGTTTCATCTGGTTTGGAGTGGCAGATTGTTAGCAAAGAAGTTCAGGTGGTGTTTGATGCGATGTGTCATGTGATAAGTGAGTGGAAAGGAACATGATGATGGCCAATATTGCAGGGCAAGAGAAATTTTCTGTGAGTTGGAGCAAGAGGAGATTTGCCAGGCACCGTCCAAGGATGTGAGAGACTTGCTGACAAGGGACTGGTTTTCTGACTTGGACTTGTATGAGCATGGGGGTCTCCCTAGAAGCCTGAAGCTCAATATTGGTAGACATATGGATAAGATGGTGCTGGTGGGCCCAAGAGGGGTGAAAATGCAAGGGGAAGGGGTAGGGATGGAAGAGATAAGAAGGCTCATTAGGTGGTTGATGGCTTGTGTTGATGTTCTACAGTTTTGTCCTCAAGATTCTGGATCTGGGTTTTTTGTCGTTCCTTTTGTGGGTAGTGATGCATGGTTTTTTCTGGTTTATTGTTCGCTGACGGTTTAGGGGTGTGGGGCACGGTTCTGGTGATCCATTTTGTACAGGATGTGTAGGTTGGGTTTGCTGGGCCCATTTGAGTTTGAGCCAATTTTTCCCATATTGTATCTTCCTTCTTTTTTGTTTTTTAATATTTTTTTACTACCAAGAAATAAAGAAAACCGTGGGGAGGCTACCAGGGGCTAGGCCATTTATTAGGGTGCATGGCACAAACTTGCTATACAGATCATTATTTCGTTTCCAGTTAATAAAATTTATTGTTACTAATAAAAAATACTCTTCCTGTTATGACAAGGCTTTTTGGTCTATAGATGCAAGAACTGAAAAGAACGTAGCAGAAAATAGATTTTTGCACTAAAGAATTCAAAGACGAATTGTTTGGAAAAGAATTTCAAATGAAACTCAAAATCAATTCAAGAATCACTAAATCACCAAGAATTAATCAAGAACCCATCGAAGGTGGTGGTCACGCTGTTGTGGATTGCAAGGTGTCCTGAGTCCATTGCACGCGTAGATTTTTGTGCTTCCCTTTTTCTTTTCTCTGTGCAGAAGTCCAGAGCTGGGTGGTGCACTGCAGACGCTTGTCTTAGCACCTCCCGGGCCTAAGTGCATGTACTTATATTAGCCCCCTGCTTATTGACAAAAGTAATTTTGTCGATAAGCAAAATTCTGCGCTGAGAAAAGATGGGTCCAATCATTTTATGATTTGTTGCGCTTACAAGTTTAGCCCCCCTGCTTATTGACAAAAGTGATTTTGTTGATGAATAAGTTTGATTGGTGTAGGCAGTGCGTTGTGTCCTGTGTGGTTATAAGTTGTCTTGCGTGTGCTAAGTGCTGGTGGTGCGTTGTGTCCTGACGTGTGGCGTGTGCAACAGCATGACAACTATTAACGTCTTCCGGATTAATGGTGTATCTAATCATTACCACCACCATTACAGCATGTAGCACGCATGCCCAATAAATGTTCGTCAGTGAGTGATGGGATCGACAGGGGTGTCTCTACAATTTTCGTAAACTGGAGACCCTTCTAAATCATTACTTGGGGGTATGTCTTTAACCCCAAGGTCCCACGTGGGATTGCAGTCTGGGCTTGATTTGGCAGTTTGAGAAATCTTTGTGTTTGAGGGTTTGGGTACTGTTCATCTTCTTCTGTTCACAGATTGTTGTAGTTTCTGCCTGGGCTGTTCATTGGTTTCTCTCGTGCAAGGATGTCACAATCAGCATTGTTTGTTTCTTCGTCTTCAAAGGTTCATGACGTCCCTGCCTCTGGTCTGCACCTGTTTGAGGAGTTCGTGAAGGGCATCAATATGCAGTACATGCATAGTCAGATTGCTTCTCTTGAGAAGAAGCAATTGGAGCTACCATTGCTGTGAATGGTGAGTTTGAAACCATTTTTGGAAGAAAATAGTCTATCATTGCTGTGAATCAGATAGGGATCATTATACAAATGGGCAGATTGGGTCTTGAGTAGTCCCATTTTCTGTAAGTTCCTTAGGAAAACCGGCCTTCTTTTGGCTGCAGATTGCTTCAGGGAGATGGAAAAGAGGAGGGGGTGGAGTTTATGGAACCGTTGTTGGCCCATTGGTCTCCTGGTACCCACACACTACCATTATGACATTCGAATCCAATAGCCTTCTTAGAGGGGGTAATGATAGAGTGCAATGTTTTAGGCTACCTAAAATGCCATTATCCAATGTTTTATGCCTCCTCTTTATTGGAATTTAGGGCCATCTTTTGCAGTGATTTAAAAGGTGCGCCTAGGAACACAGGCGAGGCGCATTTTGGGGTATGTGCCTCGCCTAGGTCGAGGTGCATCCCTTTCAAAAGGTGCACGCCTGTCCGGGCTTGCCTCGAGAGGCGTAGTACAAAGGCGACTCATAGAATCAACAAGAAAAAGAGATTAAGGAGAAAAAGAGATTGTGGGTTTTACATCCTTGAAAATGCTTTATATGTTTTCTTTTATTTTAAAATTTTCATTTGAACACGCTTTACATGTTATGTTTATGTATTTTAATTTTAGATAATAGGTTTTCTAAAACATTTATTTTGAAATTTAAGTTTATATTTTTTATTAACATTATGTTTAATATTTTTTGATTTTTTTGCATTTTTAAAAATTTTTGGCATTTTTTTGAATTTTCTGACTTTTTTTATTTTTTACCTTTTTTTTTTTGTAATTTTGCGCCTTGCTTAAAAGGCGCGCGCCTCACCTTGCACCTTGCACCTCAGGTGCAAATTAACCCTTGCGCTTTTTTTGCGCCTTGTGCTTTTAAACACTGATCTTTTGTACTGTTTCTTTGGGAATCTATGATTCGTTTAGACTCTTGCTCACCTTGGCTTTATATTTTATAAAACCTTGGTTCTCGTTTATTGTTCTCTCTGTATCTGTATTATAAATTTCTTGGTTAACTTAAAAAAATTGAGTGGGTGGGGTGTGGCTCTAGCCAACCATGTTGATTGTGATTAGGAGATTGACTTACAGCTTTGTTGTGTTTTTTTTTTTTTTTTTTTTAATCTTTGCAGGTTTGAACTTCTAAAAAGCATCTTGTGTGCTTGTTTTGATTCTCTGCATTAATGGTTTTTGTTCCTCATATTTTGTTCTTTAATGCAGTGATGGTGGAAAAGTTGATGGTGGTGATTTTCTTGCTGGCTTTCTTCTAGGAGGTGCTGTGTTTGGAACATTAGCATATATCTTTGCTCCTCAGGTGATTAGACTTAATCCATTTATTAGATTTCTTTGGACAAGATACAAAAGAAGGAACCATAGCCCCACTCCCCCAAATAAACAAAAAAAGAAAAACATTTGAATTCTCAGTATTTTTCTGTCCTTTCTGTAAAATGAATAGCCCATGTTGTGAAGATTGATGACCATGTTGATTGCTCATGCATGGCTTTGTTTCAAGAGAAAGTATACCATCATCATTATCATCATCTAAGCTTTGTCCCAACTATATATTATCAATTATCAAATATTTCATGGTTTCAACTACTTCCATATCATCTATATATTTTTCATATTTGCACACATGAACCGAAGTATATTAGAAATCATGTGCTATATGAAGTGTAATGGATTTTTCTGCTCTGCATACCCCAGTCTCCATGCCAGACTAGTCTTATCACTAGCATACATTCCTATGTGAAGTTGTTAGATGGACAGCCATCCTTTTCCTTTTTCTGGTTGTCAGCTCTCATTTCTCATTGTTATTGGGGGGTGGGGGGGGGGAGGGGTGTTAACTCTCCTTTGCAATTGTGGTCTAATAAGTAATAATTGGATAAAGGCGATGGAATTTAAAAATAAGAAGCCGATGGATTTCTACCCCTTCTGAACTAGTTTTTTTTTGGTTTTGTGTATTCTGCACTTTCTTTTGTGCTGGTGTTTCTTGCAGTGTTTCTTGATGAGAACTGTTAGTGGTGTTAGTGAAGGGGTATTTCAGTCTTTGTACTTGTTGAGAATGYTGATGTKTACTGTWATRTTAGTTCGAGTGCCTCTTACTTAAAGAAGGGCACTCAAGTCTTTTCCAATAAGTTAATAATATAATAACAGGTCTGGCCGAATCAAGGGATTAACTTTTTTCCCTAA